TTACGATTTCAGGTTTCGGGTGTCGCTGATTACGAACTGAAGTTAAAATTCGAATTAAAAAATGCCATTTTGAATTTTGCAAATTATTTGACTTTAAATTCGTAATCAGTCACCTCGAAAACCTGAAGTGGGATTTAAGATGTTTGTAATTTTTTTCTCTCGCATGCAGACTTCATCTGATTCCCATATCTATAAACGATTGCTCAGAGAGGAAAGAGATATTCTAACAATTTAAAATTAATTTTGATGAAGATGAGTAGTACTCACAATTGCTATAAGAAGTTTTGTAAAGAAAAAAATTATTTCATGGCGTAACATTAGATTTACTTTTAGGTTAGGATATTTCTAAAAGCTAATGTTTTGGAGCAATTCTGAAGTCAGATTCATAGTCAGCATGTCGAAAACTTTCGGGAAAGTATACAGGTTCTAGTTTATTCAGTCAAATTTGGTCGGCCGTGTTGTGAACATCTGAGGCACCAACAGCACGAAATTTGTCAAATGACAGTCATTTCCTGCGCGAATATATCTATAAGTACTTCTAATCTTTCCTCCAAATATACTTGTGATATTTATTAGTGCGGGGAGTTCATCGCTTAAGGTAAGTAAACAGTAGCCTTGACTTATGTTGTATATCTAGTTTTTAATTTATAAATTCTTTTTTATCCACTCTAATCGTCACGTAAATAATTAACAGAAAGTACCCGAATGTGGAATATTCCACAACTGAATAAATTAGGAAGAAAACTTGTTTTAACTGAAGCCCTTAAGAAGGAATTAGTGAAACGCTTTATGTTGTGGTAAAACATTTTTTTTTTGTTTGGAATAACCAATGCGTGTAGCTCATTGTATCAACTTGCAAAGTTGAATAACTATTCTACTTTATTTTACATGAAGTAACTGGTAAATATTGATTGAAACAATTTTTAAAACACCAAGAACACATCAAAAGTATTAGAAAGCCGACAGGCACTTCAGTTGCTGGGGCCACTGACCAATGTAGACGTTTTTTTTACACATTAAAAGTATTAGAAAGCCGCAGGCACTTTAGTTGCTGGGGCCACTGACCAATGTAGACGATTTTTTTTAATTTACTCAAAACATTAATGTCAAAACTGACCACAATCTCAATGTGGATGAGACTGGATTTTGTATCGTTCCATCAAAATATCCCGAAGTTCAAACACTAAAAGGAAAACGTCAGATAGATATCATCTGCCGAAAGGTTACTTCTGATTGTAGTTCTAAGCATAGGTGTAAGCGGAATTTTCGTTCCAACGATTATGATTTATGCTAGGAAAAATACCAATAATGTCTATCTTCAGAAAGGTGCCCCACCGGGATCAATATTCTGCTGTTACTCCTCAGGTTAGGTTAAGGTATTCACAGTTTAGTTTCATGGCTTCATTAAAAATGTTCAACAGCAAAAAATCTCTTCTATTTCTCTATTTATTTTAGATGACCACCATATCCATACAAAGAATTTGGACGTCATTCTGGCTGCTAACTTTGTTACAATGTAATGTCTTCCACCCCATACGACACTTAAATTATAGACTTAGATAAGTCTATTATGGGAGCATTACAGCACTTTTATAATGAAGAAATCAGAATTTTTTTTAGAAGGCAGCAGCTGTAACAAACTTTCACATATTAGTGCGCTATTCTAGAAGTTGAATAAAAAGAGCAGCAAGATGAAACGAATATCTTAATGTGTCTGTCATTTCAGCCCGTTCCGAAGAACTCTTCTCCTTTAAGATCTGATAATTCTATATTTTCCGTTAAGGATTCTGTCGTCGAAGACACATTCCTAGGAGGCAACCTTATAAAACAATAAAGTTGCGCTCGGCTTATAGGGGTCGCAAAAAAAAAATCAAACAGGATGATTTTTTCAGGGTCTCTTGGGGCATGCCTCCTAAGTATTCAACCAAATGATCACACTCAAACTCTTGGTACGACTTGCGCTATGGGGGTGGTTTCCTAGAATTTTTTTTAGATCAAAATGACCTTAACAAAAGTTGTATAGGATAAAATTCTGGACTTAATAATTTTTTTTTGTATCTCTAATACTTAAGGAGGTACAGCGCATTATATGAAAAAAATTGCGCACGCTGCACGTTGTAAACATGTTTTTGCAGAACCAAAAAAGAACCAGCTCCAGCAGAGCTCCTAAACCTTATTTCATGCCAATAGGGTACACCCTGTAGAGCAGCGAGTGGTTGCCGAAAAGCAGGTTTGCTGTGCGCCGTAATGTGCAAACACTGCTCTGGCGGGACTTCCGATAAGGCACAACCATTGCCATTATCTGAATTTGGAATTGAAAGCGATTATGACGATATTGACGACGACCCTGAAAACAGTACATCATGCAGGATGATAGTTCAAACGTCGATCCGGATGACGTTGAGAAATGTGTTCACCTGAGCCTTCCAGGAAAAGAGAACTGAGTTGATGATTTTCATGCAGATCGTGAATTAGGCCTAAATAAATGCGCTGTAACTTGTTAAGTAGTCGAGATAATAAAAAATTTTATAGGGCAATATTGTAGAGCATTTACTTCTCTGCAAATATTATTAAAAAAAAAGAAGGCAGTCCCCAAGTGACCCTGAAAAAATCATCCTGCTTGGATTTTTTTTTTAATAAAATGATATCTTTATCTTACTATCAGGATGGCATTTGTATGTTTTGTATCAATGTTGAACTCATGGAAAATATGCAGAAGCTGAAAGTGATGTTTGTGTGCTACTTTTGCAAATAATTTTATAAATACGGTGCGGTGTGAGCAAGAAATCCATAACCGGGGATCAAAAATTAAAAAATCGAGTTCATAAAAGTAACAACAATTTTTTACGCTTCAAATTGCTTCAAAAAAGAAAGTGATTCCGCGTTACTAAAATTTTGTTTTATTCCGTTTTTTAAAAGGGTATTTTTAATAAAAGAAAAGTATTCCACATTCGGCATCTCTACATTAGTATTTCTAAAAACAAAATTTAAAGACAAGACACGAGTTTCGGCAAGTATTCGCCTATAAATCAAACTGTCATTGTTTTGCTTTCACTTGACCACAACTAGCGCGAGCTTCAAGCTCCGATTTGCCACCTCGCAAATTGAGTTATGGCTAAATTTTCGTCGAAATTCCCATCGTGGGAATGTGCTTTAATATGAACGGTTACATAAAAATTATGTGAGCACTGTTGATGATTCTCGATAGTCATATGTCGTAAAAAGTTCGTTGGCATCGCTTTAGAAGTGACTACTTTTAGTTTCCATTCATAATGGACTTGGGTCAACTTAATCCCTTCACTTGTTCGAAAGTTTTGAGCAGAAAGGTCATTTTATGTATCCATAGATAATATCCATCTGCACGTATGATTTAGATATATTTATGTTAAAGCAATGTATGGAAGAGGTCTAGACCAATCGACCATAATACGAGAATTTGTTCTAAACATGAGACAACAAACAAGAATAAGTGCGAGGTTTGATAAAAAAGTAACAAACATTTTCAAATTGTGCGTTGTATCTTGTTTACCGAGTTAATTCCTTTTTTGTGTACTGTAGCACTGTCAGTGAAGTAGCCGTCAATTTTTAGATAACTGCTATGCTCAGTTTGTGTTTAGCGAGCAAATGAGTAAGATCTTAACTCAGTGTTTTTGGCGATTTTTTGTGTGGCGAAATGTCGGATCAGAGAGTTTGTCTGATATTTTGCGTTAAAGATGGAAGCGTTGAAAATGTTGAAGAAGGCCTTTGGCGATGATAGTATACCACAGCCACTAGTTTATCAATGATATAAATGTTTTCAGGAAGCCTTAGAAGACATCGAAGATGGGGGTGAGATCTGGTCAAATGTGAAGGTTTTCTAACCGTTTTCTTCGACTACAATGTTCATCACGAATATTTCCCGATCGTACGTAGTTAACAAGGAACATGGCTCCTGTGATTTTTTCATATTTCCCAATTTCAAAAGAAAACTCAAAGGCCAATGCTCTTCAAAATAGACGAGATAAGGGCAAAATTGCAAACCGTGCTCAAGATGATACCTAAAGAGGCGTTCCATCAGTGTTTCTCAAACTGGAAAAATATAGTACGACTACTTTGAAGAGGATGGAATAAAAATTGAAGATTAAATAAATATTTTCTCGATTTAAGATAAAAAAGTGACATGTGAAGAGCGATTAGGGGCTTTTTAGTCAAAAAGATACCAGCATACAAAAGATTGACAATTCAAATTACGAAAATTCCCATTTTGGTGCATCCATCTGACTTACCTTATTTAGATCTCTAAGGCTATTTTGATAATTTCACTGAAAAGATGAAGATGAAAATGATGTAACTTGTGAACAATGTCTGCGACATTATTCTCAACAACTAAAGATTCGTATGAGGAAAATATCTATGTATAGGGTGTCCCAAAAAGAAGGTTAATTCGGTAACAACAGACTTTTGAGATAAAAGTAAAATGAATTCGGTGAACTTACCTGTCTATAGAAATGAATCTCTTAAAGGATACGGGGTGATAAAACATAAACTTCAAAATCGTTTTTTCATAATAACCTCCACGACTTTCGAGATATTGGTTTCAAATTTAATTGATTGTAATTATTATTATTCCATTGTAATTATTACGAGTTTATGGAGAATCGTGTGTTTCGAAAAATGGATTTATCGTAACTCATTATCATCCCTAACATTTTTTTTAAGTACATTTCTTATTATTATTTTTTAAATAGTGTCAGCAATATCGGTTAAAATGTTTTCTATAATTTGTAAAATTTGTATGCTCTTGTTTTTCTTGTTATTGGTTTTCAAAACTCTTATGAGAAATTCATAAAGCAGCTCGTAGTCCTTATTTTAATCATCTATTTTAACACCCTGTATATTTTAAAGTAAACATTTTGGTATGTTAGTAAGTTTTAAGTGGGTAATTATGGAAAAAAGGAACATAAACATTATTTTTTAATTCTTCAATTGTTTATTGCATAAAAAAGCTAATAGAATACAAGTATACATAAAAATATATTAGGATTTGACCTTTCGAATATTTGTCATTAATTATAAACTAGATCACAAGAGAACTAAAGGAATTTTCAAATAAATAAAAGAGTGCTGCATTTTAAAATTATAACGAAGATACAATTTATTATTAAATAATGTTAAATATAGTCACAAACCTTACACATCACATTTGAAACAAATGCTCATCCTCGCCGTAAAGCAGAACTGACCCGTACATACTATGAATTACGATCAGTCTTTCCGTGAGCAGTAACAGTGTAAAATTTGATCCAGAAAGTTAATAAATTTACTAGGGATTAAACAGAACTTAAATTTCTAATAACTAGTGGAATAATACATCATAAAAGTACAAAGTAATTACAAAGTAGTTACTACATTTATTAATTTTCATTACAGTGCCTTGGATTAAACTACTGTCTTTTTGGATAATAACTTAACTAAGCGGTGTTGCTTGCCGGTATCTGAATTGCGAAATTCTTCTAGAAGCTAGAAAAAATCAAGATTTTTGTTAAAAGTAAGCTTTCATGAGTTGAGTCGGGGAGGTATTTTTTTTATTATAATGAAAAAAACTATAGCTAATCATTTGCGTTACAAACTAAAAGTAATATTATTGTCAAGTGGTAACAAATAGTTTACTACTAAGATTTTGGCTAGAATAAATAGAACTGAAATAATTTAACATTTCTCCTCAATTTCGTGATACAGTAGCATTAATAAAACATCTCATAAGTTATGTTGGATGTTTACAAAGATACATATGATTTTTTAATGGTAAGTAGAATGTATTTTCAATAATCGAAACTGTAGAAACAGCAAAAAGATGTTGAAAATGAATAATGGAAATTGTTAAAACTTACTGCTAACCTCTGGTAATTTTCCGTACTTATATAAAAAGAGGTGAATAGTTGTGTTCGTAGACAGCGCACCGTCCACTATTTATCCCTTTCTTTGTTATCATCAGTTTTATTTCAGTTTGAGGCAAAATGGTTAGTGAAAAATGTTTGTCATTTACTTTTATGGATTCTGGACGTGTTAACTGTAATTTATTTTTGTGAAAAGACAGTTTGTCTGGCGTGTGTGTTAATAAATACGAATAAATCATCTGGAATGGCTTATCAATATAGAAAGAATGATGGTGGTAGCATATGAAGCTGCTGATGAAAACTCATCAAACATCTTTATATACAACGACTTGTGTAAACACTTGTAAACAGAGCCAGCCGAGCTATCAATAGAGTCAGCGATTCCAGAAATGTTTTTTTCATTTCATTGTGATAAGTCGGTAGATATAAAAAAATATTCTATTTATATAAAAATATTTTGGCCAATTAGTCCAATCGAAAAATTAAAAAAATTATTAGTAGACCTTTCATTGCACTTTATGAGAGAGAAGGTTATGTAGAATAATAATTAAAAAACTAAATGTTAACTGTAAAATAAAGATGCGCCGCCAAAAAGTCAGTTTTCGAAAATTGCGCATTACCTTTTGCAAAAAGTGATACATATTGATGAAATTTATGGAAAAGACGGTCAATCTAATGGCCAACATGTCTACCTAAGGCCGTTTGACTCTTTGTTAATTAATTTCGTTAATTTTTTGCAACTAATTGTTTAATAACTAAACGTTAATTTTGGAAATTAGTATCGTAGATATAGTTGATCCAATGAAACGTATCGAAAAAGAAAAATTTCAATAATTTCTTTACAAAGTAGGATGTGCAAAATAGCGTTATAAATACAATTGAACAATTGTTCCAGGCTCAGGCAAAGACCGCTCGAGAATTCGCTCTTTTTACAAGTTTTTATTTAACTTGCCTTGTTAGTATGGGATAAATCTTGCAACTGGATTTTAAAACAGTTATCCCCAACCGATTGAGCTGAAATTTTGCATACACGTTTAGTTTGGATGACAATGCATGGTTAGCTAAGTGACGTCATTCTAAATCCAATATGGCGGACTGCCAAAGATGGCAGACCAGTAATTTTTTATGCATGTCACTAAAAGCTAGTTTTCTAATTTTTTTTTCACATAAACTTACTGCATTAAATAGAGCTTACTTTTACGGTAATTAAAACGCGTCTTTGTTCCCAAAACAGATGTTACCACGTTAATTGTTAATTAACTATTGGATGTGTCAGACTGGAATTTTAGAGACAATTAAAAAAATGGTTTTATTTAATTTCTAAGCTCCATTTAGTGTAAAAAGAGCGGATTCCCGAGCGGCTTTTGTTTATAATGCTGTTTTGCAACTCCTACTTTCTTAGGTGTAAAGAGCAACTTTCTGAATTTTTTTTTTCAATACGTTTCTTTGGAATAATTAGAACCTATATTATGTACGACATTAAATCGGCCTTCGGCACACATGTTGACTATTGGATTGATCGTCTTTTACATACATTTCATCAATATCCATTGTTAATTCCTATCCCAGTAATTTTATTTGAAAAGTTTTATTTGGTAAAAACTGGAAACAACGAAAAGCCATCATTTCAATTCTTACAATTTTGACATAGAAATACTGAGACCAAAGAAGTGCAATTTTAGTTATCTCGCCCTTTTAAATGAGTAGTAATTTCTCTGTGAGATGAAGGAATACTTACGTCATACGAAAGCTCCTGTTTAAGCACTGATGTGGTTTGCGGATTTCCGGAACAGCAGGCCAAAAGCGTTGGAAACAGAATATTGGTTAAGGAATATACGGAAAAGTAAGGGAAAGGTAAGGAGCACAGCTGTTGTAGAACCGACGGTGGTTGTCCGCTGACCAAGAGCATCTGTAACAAGGAAAATTATTGATGTATTGATATATTATGAAGTATACAGTAAAGTCTTCGATAAGGCGATTACAATTTAAATTCATCTGAATAGTTACTCAAGTCTCAAATGGCATTCAACAGAGTTTGGAAGGGATAGAGAGAACAACGACTGCAATATATTTCCGTGGCTTAATTGAGGGAATTATAATTTTAAATCAGACTACTTGTATGTTTTATCTATATCTTCTTACATCTATGGTATTTAGATATTAGTCCTAGATGTTCTAAAGTAATGATTATGGTGATATACCGAATGCCCGTTTTCAAACTACAACATCGAGATTTTGGTTACTTTGAGACAAAGTCGTTCAAATTAGGGTAAAATTGCTGATTTTGGTAAAGAATAACGTGCTGAATAGAAATGTAATATTTCTTTTTTTGTCTGGAAATTGTCTACAAAAAATTGAAAATGTTGGATTTGTTAGGAGTGTTTCTTAGGGATAATAAAAGTGCTGTATTAGCCAGTGCGTTTATCGGGTTGAAGAAATAACAGTCAACTTTTGTTTTTCTCATGGATGTCATACTGGATTTTCACAATTTTATAGGTTTGCGCATTTTCTGATTTTAGCGATTTGTTATATGATAAGATTTATATTTTATACTCTTATAAATGCCATATTATCTACTTTTATAAAGAGTGTTGTAGAAAAAAAGACATTCAGATTGTTTGAAGAGCGGTCCGTAGCAGCCTTAAAATCAACAATAAGAACCGAAATGAACATCATGGCTGGCCTAGGAATTCTTATAGCCGTTCTGCCACCACAGAACCTAGCCCGAGAACAACAAGGACTGGTCAAAGATTCCTAGCCAAAACTATGGAAATGCAAAAGTGTAATGTAAGTCTGTAAGTGGCGGCGACCTACATACGGCATGGCATGCATGTGATGCCGCAATCACTGTGTTCTCCGGACATGACACCTTTGACTTTCTCCTATTTCCCAAACTCAAAAGGATACTCAAAGGACAACGTTTTCCAACAATCGATGAGATAAAGGCAAAATCACAAACCGTGCTCAAGATGATACCTAAAGAGGCGTTTCACCAGTGTTTCTCAAACTGGAAACTACGTTGGCATAAGTGTACAATATCAAAGGGGGACTACTTTGAATGGGATGGGACAAAAATTGAAGAATAAATACTTTCTGAAAAAATTAACAAATGCCGTTACTTTTTGATCAAACCTCGTATAAAATAAGAATCGAGTGATTACCTTGGTTTTAATACTTACAATTTGCAAATAACATAATATTCAACTAAAACCATTTAATCTTGAATAAAATTACGACGGGAAACAAAGATTTACCATAAACAAAAGAAAGGTAATATGAGTATATTCGACAATATTTTTTGTTTGCTTCAATTTGTTTTCATTAGGCCAGCAAACATTTAATGAAGAATGGGAATATAAAAATATAAAAAGCTATGTGTTTATTAAACACACAGCCATTTCAATAAAGTCAAAAACGGCTATTACGGTAATGCACCTAAACGTACAAAAATATACGATCATATGGGCGTATAAATGAGCTTAATGGCATATCGATACGCCTCTATTATGAATTATTAAATAGGTCGAGGTGATCAGATAGCTATCTAGCGAGTAATTTCCGTGACAAAAGACTAGTTTGCATGTTAATATTTAATTTAATCATTAGGGCAGAGCGTGAATTAGACGTTTGTAAATTAGATCGTATTGAAACGTACCTATCTACGCGAATCAATATCCAATGTTTCAACGGGAAAATTTACTACCGAGTTTATAACGGTATTGTTTTTCCACTATGAATAGAAAGTAAGTATATTATCTATTTTCATTTGTATTATAACTGAATACAGTATACATATGATGTAATAATACTAAACTTTGGCTTTTAAATATACATTACCATAGCCTACTTTTCCGTTTTCTCGTCGTCACAAAAACGGGCTATGAAGTATTTTTCTTTAATTTCATTTATAAGTATAACATAAAAAGATAAGCTTTTCACCAATATAATTACGGATGCGTTAGAATAGGAATCCATTGATAGAAGGCGAACAACTGTTATGATTAAAATGAAATCGATGACACTTTCATCAACTTTACGCCATTCTAAAAGTAGAGGATTTAAATTTTATGATTCAAATGAAATCAATGATCTATAAAATAGTATAAATAGTAATAAAGAAACAATTCCTTTTTTTTCTTATCCTACCAGTGGTTTGGTTCTGTTCAAGCCCTATAGCACCCCGGCCTTATCAGGCCCATTGTGCGTGCCACTATTCAGTCCTATTCAGCAAGTAATTTTCTTCATTTTACAAAGACCAAAAGCTTCCTTTCAGACACTTCTCTCAGCCCCTTGGATTCCAGAAAGAGTTTTTCCATTTGTTCCTTTTGTAAAGTCTAGAAGCTTCTTTGCCGATACTTCTCTCAGCTCCTTGGCTTCCAGAAAGGGTTTTCCCAGAAGTGTCATAGATGCTTCTTAAAGTAACAGTGTATCGTTATAAATGCAGTCACTTTACTTAGCCATATTTTATTCAAGCTCATTTACCAAGTTCATCCGCTTTCTCATTTCCGTCAATGCCTTTATCACCCAACATAGTCTAACTTATTAGTTGTAGCCAGTTCAGTCGGCATTTGTAAACATTGCCATACAAATTTTGAACTAACCTTGTGAGTGTCTAAAGCATTGACTGTCAGAGAATATGTATACGAGTTTCTGTCTATAACCTCTATACGTTCATTGTCTGCTAAACACGCCATTATCGCGAAAATTTCTGGTTGAAATATAATGGGAAACCTCTCCAGACTGTAGCTTGCACGCTATCTGGGCCATGTATTCCTGCACCCGTCTCCCTGGCATCTTTGGAGCCGTCCGTAAACCAACCATACCTCGCTTCTCTTTCCAGCACTATATGAAGCAGTGGTAGATTTAGTATGACTTCGAGCGCAGCATTCGAGGTCGATGTTATCGCCCCCGTTCTACCCAAACAGACCCATACTATGGATTTTATTCAGAATTTCCAGAGCCATAAAATATGACATCATTGGCTTCAGTCCTCAGGTTGTGCGGATGAGATGATTACATACACACAATGTCTGCTTTGTCTTACTTTCCACTTTTTTTCAACTGTGCATTCCAGGTAAGCTTATCATTCAGTATCAATCCTAGAAAAATTAATTACGCAAGTAACAAAAATAAGTAGTAGTCATGGAGAGTAAATAACAAATTTAAATTAATAAACTAAATGAAAATTTTTCTTAGCCAACCCGCCACCAAATCAGAAAATAAATTTAATTGTTTTTCATTGGTTTGTATTCTTTTTTTAATAATTTTCATGTATTCACCATTGCTTCCATTGGCAAATTTTGTCTATGATCATGGTGGTTGTGTTGCATGGTAATCTAGATTACCAAATTGACATGAAAGCGATTATTGCAAACAAGAATTGTCACTTCACCTGTGAAGATATAAGCACAAGCTTCCACCAGAGGGGACATTAAAAATATCATTAATTAAATGTGAAATAAGATACATTTTTATGTGGTTTACGAATTTAAAATGTACATTTAGCCTTCAAAACTTTGTAGATTTGTAACCTTGGAATGAATAAAGGTCGCCCTATCAATATTTTGTTTTTGAATTTTGTTATTAAATCTAATTTATGCTCCTAAAATTTGAACATATCGATAGGGAACACTTACTATAATAATTACGAAAATGTGACTTTTGACATTATAATTGGTTTTGTATAATCTTCCACAAAATATTTTACCCTCATCTTTTTACTTATCTAAGACAAAATAGTAGAGAACAAAGCTGTAGTAAATTTTCTTGCGATTTAAAAAAAAACAAAATGTTACTAAAATATAAAAGTATAGTGGAACGCTATGCTATTAAAAATACGCTAAGGCAAAATTTTATCACAATATGTAAGACAGTACAAAATGTAAATATTTGGGTATCTCTATGATGCCCAATTTATCCACAGGAGGACAATTACGAAACAAATTATAGGAAGTCCTAGTGTCATTTTGACCTCCTCTATACGCTGACGAGAAATTAGTAGATACTTATCGGATACCCTGTATTGTCAATTAATAAATATTATTTCAACTAGTTTTCAATTAGCTACTATTTCCATCTTTTAGAGATAGACAAAAGAAACTTTCCGCTTTTTGAATTTCCATTTTTAGGAATTTCCCGGAAAATTTAAAAGTTTTAAGAAACTTTCTCTAAATATTCATAGTAAGCTTCTCGGGAAACTTTCCGGGAAAGTTTCCGGTATGTAATTTCTGTAAAACCAGTACTGGAGGATGACAAACCAGGTTTGATTTCTAGTGAAGAATGTAGATATTGACAATAAAATAATACTTATACATTGACATAAAATAATAAACTTTATTACCAATAACGCAATGAAGAAGTATGGATAAAACTGATATTAAGTTGTACTGGCACAGTATCGACGTAAGACAAATGCTTTTTCAAATAATCCTTATTGGAAAGCATCACAAAAAAATTCAAGAAATAATTTGCTGAAAGGGTTTTTGCCCAAATAAACTGCAACAACAGTAATACGCGAAAGGAAGTTTAAGTTACATTATCATATAATAACTCTAAAAAGAAATAAATTAGCTGTTGAAAGAACAGAAAAATAAATTGTTAAACAGAATTAGAAATATCTCACAGAACATGATTTTCATCAATTGTATAAGTATAATGAAAATTATGTAAATGTTAGGTAATATGTTAGAATCACATCTTGGGAATGAAAATATTACCAGTGAAATGTGGAAATAGAGACAGATTATGATACAGACGATTTGATCCATATTAAGAATGATTTCGTTAAAGTTAAGAGAGGAGCCGCAGCAAAAGAAGTGAGTCAAATAGAAGTTGAATTAGTGTCAGGTATCCAACAAAAACAAAACGGAAGTGAAAAAATTGGGAGACAGACTATTTCAGTCATACCTG